AATAAATCCCATGTGTATGGCTAGGATTTTGCAAATAATTGAATTGTCTTATCCTCTATCTCATCAGTACAACATATGTATGATCATCCATTTGCTCATACCATGAGATTGCTTTACTATTCATTTGTTTGAATGCTTCTTCTCAATTAATTTAGCTTGTCAAGTTTGTCTCCTAAAATGTTACTATTCCATATAATTATTCAATCAAATAATTGAAATCATTTAATTTGGTTGTTCTCACGTCCCTCATCATTTTCTTAATTCTGTTAAGTTTATGTGATCGAATTGTACTTTACGTTCTTCACTTTTTTATGTTACTTTATTATAAATTTTGTTTTTTTATATAACTATTTACTTTATAATTTTACGAAGATATTTAATTTGATGGGAAAATAATATCTAAAAATTTATTCATATGTACCTTAACTACTAGACCGGATTTCGGGGTTAGAGTATCAACATTCACGGACAAAGGTCTCCAGAACATTAACTCAACATTCCACCGAGGCCGAGCTCGACCCACCCGAGGTCGGTCCAAACATTCAACTCCCAGGTCACCAAGATAAGCCTGAACCCGAGGCCGAGCTCGACCCTCACCAAGGTCGGTACCAGACCTGACCTCGATCACGGGCACGAAGTCAACTGAAGTCAATGGAGCGAAGGAACTATTACTACTGAACAAATGGAAAACCAGGAACGAAAGCTCCAGCCTAAGCTTACCATACCTGAGCTCTTACGTCACTTACGGAGCTCGGAGTCTCGCTAATTAACCAGCCATGGACTTAGACATTTTAGCTGTTGAGTGCCACATGGAGCTATGGCCACGTCACCAGCACTGTACAAGGGCCACATCACTATGGCGATTATCACGAGGAGTATTCCATGTTACACATGTGTGGCACACGTATGGATTCTGGCACATAAATGATTAATCAACAAGGTGTACAAGATATTTCTTCAATCACCTTTACACGTGTTGCCACCCTATTAGACTAATACATTTATTCTTGTTAGACAGGTAGGACACGTGTCCTCGTCACATTGTTTGGCTTGTTGGCCAAGTATTTTTTCCTTAGTATAAACATCACATTCTAGCATGTGGAAAGAGATCTGATTCAAGCTTTAGAGTTAGTCTTATAAATTCTCTACTCAATCTTACTTAGCACTTTTCGTCTCTCCAATTTTCCCGGATTCCCACCCCAGGTCGGCTATCCAGCAGTGTCAATCACATTATTTTGTGTAGTGATAATAACATAATTAGATTTAGTTGTGCTTTAAATGAACTAAATAGCTAAAGTAACATTCATCACAACTGCATATCGACTACAATAAAATTAACCAAACCAATGCTTTTTTAGAGCATGTTTGGTATCACAAAAATAAATTTTGGTTAAATTGTTTGAATCTGTTGAAATTGATGAAACTCTAACAAAAGAGAATGAATATTGAAAAATACTTCAGTCTCGTATCAAACTATACCAGATCATACCATATCAAACTCAGACTATAGTACAATACACACAAAACATACATTTATCAGACAAAATAAGCATAATACAGATCAGAACATATTTATACAGACCGATTCAGAAAATTTCAATTCAATTAAAAACATTTTAAATGCAATACATTAGTTTGAAATTTGTCGAATGCCCAATTTGACCATGTCATTCTTGGTGTACACATTTGATTGTGTACATCATCGTGGGTAACAATTTAAAAGGTCAAATAAGTCCTTGAACCTAATTAGAGTGCACAATTCATTTTTCCAATTGTCGATGAAAGCGGAATCAAATATTTCTAACTAAACACTTTCACATCATTAGTTGTATGGATATATTAAAAATATTATAAATGTTACTCGTATAAAATTGGCACAATATTGAGATCATCTATTAACATTGTCATGATTAACTATAATAATATCAATATCATTGTACAGATATATGACAAAACATCAAATTTGACAATAACAATGAAATTTGAATAAAATACTCCCTCTGTCCCTTAAAATTTTGCCATCTTTCCTTTTTGGGATGTCCCAAAATTTTTTGCCACTTTCCCTTTAATCAATTATTTTGTGGTTTCTTTTATTTCTCTCTCTTCTGTCCAAACCTCAATCATACAATTTTCATTTTATTATTATTCGTGTCGATCAACTTTTGGGAAAGTTTTTTGGGAAGCAGGTTGTAATAGTTACACCTCATCCACGATGACTCGCCGCCAAACCAACATTGAACAAGTTAAAATTTCAGCGATACTATGCAACTTCAATTCTCAGGTTCAAAGCAACGACCATGCCGGCTTCCATGAGGAGGTGCGATGTAGTCTCTCATGCTATCAGGTTCAGCTTTCTTTCGTTTTTTGGTTTAATCCGCTTTGTGTTCTTGCTCCGGGCTGTGTCCCGCATTGTATTTCCGGCTTCCGTCTGGCCGAGTTTGTGTTTTCTGCTTTTCTGTTTCTGACCGACAACTAGGGTAGTAATCCCATCATCAGCTGCTTTGGTTTATGTTTGGGGTGCTGAATTTTTGTTTTTCAAAAGTTTTTTCGGGTGCATCAAGTTTTGAGTCACATCCGTGGGAGTGGATTTTGTCCATTTTGTGTCCCATCCATCATGGAGATTGTTACAAAAAACTATAGTATGATATCTATTGCGGAAGAGGAGAATAGGGATTTGGTGCTCGTGGCAGATTCAGCAGAGAGTGCTGATATAGTCGGTGAGGGAGCATGTCTTTCGACTGAGGCCAGAGTTGTTTCAAGCAAATCCATTCGTGCTATTTCTTTTCGCCAAACAATGGCCATGATGTGGCGGCCAGTTAGGGGAGTTTCTATTGATGATATTGGGGAGTCTAAATTCCTACTACAATTATATCATGAAAGAGATATGAGCAGAGTTATTGACGAAGGGCCTGGGTCCTTTGAACAAAATCTTGTGGTCATTAAGCGTGTGGGGCGCACTGACAGACCCCTTGAAATTCCACTGGACCATGCAGATTTTTGGGTTCTGGTACACAACTTACCGTTAAGCTACATGACGGCAAGAGCAGCTCGTGGAATTGCCAACAACATTGGATTGTTTGTGCTAGTAGATGAGGGCTCTCTTGGTGGAAAGCAAATGTTGGTGCTACACATTATAGTCACTATCAATATTAATATGGCTTTGGCTAGGCATTTGCAGGCCAGGCAGGAGGGGGATAGGTGGATATGGGCAGCCTTTCGTTATGAGAGACTCCCAAATTTTTGTTTCCTGTGTGGGATCCTTGGTCATGTTGATCGTTTCTGTCCCTCTATTCCACAAAGTGGTCCATGGATTGGTGAGAAGCCTTACGGGTCATGGTTACGGGCTGATATGAGGCGAGGTGGCTCGCATCGGGGCAATAAGTGGTTGATTCTTAGCAATAACAGGCCAGGGGACAGAAGGGATGAGGATGTATTCTCGGGCAAAGCAACAAGTGAACATGAAAACTATGTGGTGGAAGGGCTACTATCAAAGGGCAAGGAAGTAACTACTACCCATGAAGAACCAAGGAAGCGCAGAGTCACTCAGAAGGTCAGCGAGGATGGGGTACAAGCAAGTATGGATGTGGATGAGGCAGATCCAAAAAATTTGCAAGTGGCAGTGTTGTCTGGGGAGTACCGCCAGTAATAGGGGACTTTGGGGATATGCACGAGAAACCTTTGGCGGGGGCTGGTCAAACCGCTGTCTCCTTGCTAGTGGCTGGAAAAACTGGATTATGTTCTTTTTACACTTTCTTGTCGTCAAAGGACTCTTTTGTGTTTCTTGCTTTTCTTTTTAGTAGCAGGTGCAACATAGCTGTGAATGGAGTCTACCAAATTGCGGGGTTAGCGAGTTGGACCGTTGTTAAACGTAATTCCAGCTCTAAGTCTCATCCCAGTGTGGCCTTTGTTATGACGAATTTGTATATGGTTCTCAATTTCATTAATAATTAAGTTATCTTTTGTCAAAAAAAGAAATAATAATAAAAAGTTTTTTTTGGAACAAGGCGGCTTTATATTGATATCAAAGCATTCAACAAGGGAACAAGAAAATAAAAGCACCACTTCCAACCACGGACCCTCAAACCAGAATTAGAGCCAATCAACCAGAATAAAGCAATATAGCTCGATAATCCTATAATGGGTTTAAATGAGTCTAACGTGGTTAGAGTAAACCTCTCACCACCCCAACCTAGCGCAAAAGTCTGGCAAAAATAAACGTACATCACCAACAAAACAACATAAAGATCAAAGTAGGAACACAACCAAGCTAAATAAAAAGTAGAAATAGTCTTCCAAACCCTAGTCGCACAATTCCTCCATGGCGGTGGTTCGGTAGGGGGGATCAACACCTCTTCGTCTTCTTTCACCCGTACGAGGCCGCCGCCACCGGCACAGTACCGGAATGTTACCGGGCTTCGCAGACTTCTTTAAATCCAGCTGAGGACGCTCATCTTTTGTTGTTCTTCAGTCAACGGGGACGCCGCAGGGACTAGCTGAGCCAGACCAAAGCCACTGCCGGAAAAACTCCTAGGAAGATCCTAGAGACGACCGCAGTTTCTTTGTTGCTAATATAGTTCTCGAACACCCTTCCTTCCTTCAGCCAATCCCCTCTGCTAAGGCGCTGGTCTCCTCACAACCCTTCCCACTCTTGTGACGCCTCAATCTATAGATCTTGGTCAAGGAACGCCGCCGTCGATTGATAGGGTTCGCGGAGAAGGAAAAGAATAATAAAAAGTTAATTAACATAAACAGTAAACAAGTTTAAGAAAAATAAATAAACGTTAAACAAAAACAAAGCATTTACGGTACAATTTGGAATACGAAATTAGAGAAAAACATTCAGAAACCAAACAAAATGAAAGAAATCTTTCGCCGGAAAAATAAAGTGACGGAAGTAAAGGATGTTAAAGAGAAAGAAGAAAGAGATCTGGGACAATTTTCGCGGGCGCTGCCTTACACAGTTACACCTCCTCCGCGTGTAAAATTTTGTGGAAATCAAATATTTGGATTGTAAGGAATCAGAGAAAACGAAAGCTCTCTTCAGAGAAGAAGAAGAAAACGAAAGCTCTCTTCAGAGAAGAAGAAGATGAATCGAGAGAAATCAAAAAATTAGGTCTTAGGCTATTTTACAGTTTATTTATATCTAATACTAAAAATAGAATAGGATAATAAAAGACTAATATTTGCAGTTTAGTCCTTCAGCTCTTGGTCTTCATTAATTTGACCTCCTTGATACCCCCCCTCAAGATGAGCATGAATATCCAACAGGTTCATCTTGACAGTAAAATCTTTAAACAGTGGATTTCCAAGGGCTTTAGTATAAACATCTGCAAGTTGACAATTATTTTTGATAAGTACAAGATTAATTAAACCAGTAGATATTTTTTCCCTAATAAGATGACAATCAAGTTCAATATGTTTTGTTCTTTGATGTTGTACTGGATTATGAGCTAGAAAATAAGTGGACTGATTATCAATATGTAAATTAACAGGAAAATCATGTTTTATTTTAAAATCCTTTAATATGTATAAAAGCCACTGTGCTTCACAAGCAGCACTAGCAGCATCTCTATATTCACTTTCAGTAGAAGATCTACTAATAACAGGTTGTTTTTTAGATTTCCAAGAAATAAGAGAATTTCCAAGATAAAAACAGTAACCAGAAACACTTCTTCTGGTGTCAACACATCCTACCCAATCAGAATCACTATAACCAATGAGTTTAAGATCAGAATTTGCAGAGTAAAAGAGACCCTTACCTGGGGCACTTTTTAGGTATCTGAGAATTCTATGAGCAGCATTTAAATGAATGTCAGTAGGATTAGCAAGAAATTGACTTAAGGTTTGAACACTATATGCAATGTCTGGTCTAGTGACTGTCAAATATAAAAGTTTTCCAATAAGAGTTCTATAAACTTTGGGATCAGATAAAGCAATTCCATTTTCTTTTGAAAGTTTAAGTTTGGAATCCATGGGTGTATTGTAAGGTTTAGAATTTAAATAGCCATTTTCATTAAGAATATCTAAAGTATATTTTCTTTGAGAAAGACAAATACCAGTTTCAGATCTAGCAATCTCAATTCCAAGAATATATTTTAGATCCCCAAGATCTTTAATAGTAAACTTATTATGTAAGACATCTTTAACATGATTAATTTCAGTTTTGTCATTACCAGCTAAGATTATATCATCAACATATAAGAGTAATATTGTTATAGAATTATCATTAGTTTTAGTAAAGAGAGAAAAATCAGCCTGAGATTGAATATAACCAATACCTTGAAGACATTCTGATAGTTTGTAATACCATTGTCTTGAAGCATGTTTAAGGCCATATAGGCTTTTCTGTAATTTACAGACTCTTGTATCACCTGGAAGAAGATATCCTGGTGGGGGCTGCATATATATAGTTTCTAAAAGATCTCCATGTAAAAAAGCATTGTTAATGTCAAGTTGTTCTAAAAACCAATGTTTTGTAGTAGCAATAGCAAGAAGAAGTCTAACAGTGGTTAATTTTACAACAGGAGAAAAAGTATCAAAATAGTCTAATCCTTCTTCTTGAGTATAGCCTTTTGCAACTAACCTAGCTTTATGTCTTTCTAAAGTACCATCAGATTTTAGTTTGGTTTTATAGACCCACTTGCATCCAACAGTATGATGTTGAGGTGGTAAATTAACAAGAGTCCAAGTATTATTTTGTTCAAGAGCTTGAATTTCATTGTTCATGGCAATCTGCCATTCAGGATGTTTAATAGCTTGTTTGTATGTTTTTGGCTCTTTAATAGTAGAGACATTAGCAATGAAACATTTATAAGATTCATGAAGTCTGTCATCACTTATATGATTAGATATAGGATACCTAATGAGATTACAAGATGATTTATGAACAATTTTTAAAGAGTCAGGCAGATTATAATCATAACTCTGTAAGTAAGCAGGAATACTTCTTACTCTAGAAGATTTTCTTTGAGGAGAGGGTTCAGGATTAACAGTATGAATGTTATCCTGAAAAGAAGAGAAATTATTAGTAAGTTCTGAGGTATGTAATTCATCATTAATTTGATTATCTAAAAAAGAGTAAGAGTTAGAATTTACCTGAGTAGAAGTGTCATAAGACTGCTCAGTGAAAGTGTTTGAATGAGAAGTGTTATCATGAAAGAAACTATGATAGGAATTATTTGAAGAAGTAAATTGATTTATTTTTGAAGAGTTGCAGGGAATGTTCTTCAAAATATCTTTATAAGGAAAAACAGTTTCATAAAATTGGACATGTCTAGAAATAAAAAATTTATGTGTATTCAAATCATACAGTTTATATCCTTTATAGCCAAAAGGATATCCAATGAAAATGCATTTGGATGATCTAGAATCAAATTTATTTCTATTTGCAGTTAAGGTAGAGGCATAAGCTAAACAACCAAAGACTTTAAGGTGAGAATAATCAGGTACTGTATTATATAGAATTTCAAAAGGACTTTTATTTTGTAAAATAGCAGTAGGAGTTCTATTTATTATGTGAACAGCAGCTAAAATACAATCAGACCAAAAAGAAATAGGTAAACAAGACTGAAACAGAAAACATGTTGGTGTTTCCTTTCTACTCTACCATTTTGTTGAGGAGTTTCAACACAAGAAAGTTGATGAATAATTCCATTAGATTGATAGAAACTGGAAAACATGAATTCAGCATCATTATCAGTTCTTATAGTTTTAATTTTCTTATCAAATTGAGTTTGAACAAGTGTATAAAAATTCATCATATGAAAACGAGTTTCAGATTTTGTTTTCATCATAAAAATTCATGTACATCTGGTATGGTCATCAACAATAGTTAAAAAATACTTGAAACCTGAATAAGAAGTAGTACTGAAAGGACCCCAAATATCCATGTGAACTAAATCAAAAGGAGCAGTAGCATGTGAAGTACTATCAGTAAAAGAAAGCTTCTTTTGCTTTGAGAAATGACAGATGTCACAAGGAGTGATATTATTACAAGAAATATTTTCAACAGAAATAGGAAAAGAACTCAGTTTATTAAAAGGAGTATGACCTAGTCTATAATGCCATAGAACAGAATTATTATTTGAAGCAGTAGTGACAGAATGAGCAGAAGCAGTATGAGTAGGAAGATGCAAGTGATAGAGTCCATTTGTGATTTCAGCATAACCAATGATTTTCTGTGTATTTTGGTCCTGTAACACACCATAGTTAGAGCAAAAATTAATAGATAAATGTTCATTTAAAGTAAGACTAGATACAGAGATAAGATTGTAATTAAAATTAGGAATATATAAGACATCATGTAAAGTTAAATCATTATTTAGTTTAACATCTCCTATATGAGTAGCCATAGTAGTATTGCCAGTAGGTAGTTGAATGTTAACAGAAATAGATCTAGGTTGAGAAGTATACATATTGAAGTTATGAATCATATGATCAGAGGCACCAGTATCAATAATCCAATTAGATTTGATATAGATACCTTTGAAAGAGTTGTCAGTAAGAGATGAGGATTTATCATGATCAGTAGTTTGAGATATAGCCATAGCAGCATGAGAAGAGCTGGGCACAGATTGTTGATTCTTCATGAACTGAAGGAATTGATTGTATAGCTCAGGATTGCAAAAGTCAAATTCATGAACATCAGTAGTATCAGTTGGGGCAGCAGATGCCAAGTGTGCTTGAGATGGTTTGTTAGCATTGGTAGAGGGAGGTTTGAAACCAGGTGCATATCTTTGACCCTTAGGACCTTTCCAGTTAGATGGATAACCAATAAGCTGATAACAACGTTCAGAAGAATGGCCTTGAAAACCACAGTGAGAGCAAGTACCAGTAAACTTTTTCTTTGGATTATTGGATTTGACAATGAGAGCATTGGACTCAATAATAGAAGGAGAAGCAATGGATTGATATTGATTATTAGGAGTATGAGAAAGCATTGCTACAGATTCAAGAGGATTATGTAATGAACGTTGAGACTCTTCTTGAAGAAGAAGAGAATAGACAGTAGATAATTTTGGAATAGGAGTGCGAGACAGAATTTGACTTCTCAGAACATTGTAAGAGTCATTGAGACCAATGAGAAATTTATAGACAGGAATAGTTCTATAATTGCAGTATTCATCCCAAATAGTTTTGAAGAAATTATAGAAAGCAGTGATAGATTGGGAACCTTGAGACATATTAGTCATAGATTTTTCAAGTTGAAAAACATGAGGTCCGTCACTCTTTCCATAACGAAGCTTAACTTCTTCCCAAATATCTTTAGCCACAGTAAAATAAAGGAAGGTAGTTCGAATTTCAGGAGCAATAGAGTAAACAAGCCAAGATAAGAGGAGCGCGTTTACCCGATACCAAGCAGGATAGATTGGATTATCAGAGGCAGGTTGAGATATGGATCCATCAAGAAACTTCATCTTGTTTTTGACGGTGAAGGCCATAACCACGGACTTCTGCCAAGCATTGTAATTGTTGCCGTTGAATGTTTCGTAGATGATTCGAATCCCTGAATGGTCAGCTGGATGAAGATAGTACGACGACGAAGGATCTTCCGTAGGATTAGGGTTTTCAGTTGACATCGTAGGAGAAGAAGCAATCGATCGAGATACAGATGAGCAGCGGAAGAGATGATCGAATTCTGAAGCTAAACTGATACCATGTAAACTTTTGTGGAAATCAAATATTTGGATTGTAAGGAATCAGAGAAAACGAAAGCTCTCTTCAGAGAAGAAGAAGAAAACGAAAGCTCTCTTCAGAGAAGAAGAAGATGAATCGAGAGAAATCAAAAAATTAGGTCTTAGGCTATTTTACAGTTTATTTATATCTAATACTAAAAATAGAATAGGATAATAAAAGACTAATATTTGCAGTTTAGTCCTTCAGCTCTTGGTCTTCATTAATTTGACCTCCTTGATATCGCGCCGTTCATCATCTCTTTCGCGGTCCGCTCACTTACTCTCTTCAGATTTGATCTCAGTTCTTGAGATTTTGCTTTCGACAAACAATTGCGAACAGAAAGGCCTCGAAAGAGTCGGCAGAGTATGAAGACATTAGGGGTAAATCTGGAACAACCGGAAAAATATACTCCTAATCATTTAACTCCTACTATACAGACATTTTTATTCTTATTTCCAACCATGTCCTTTTTTTTTCAGAATGGTGACGGGTTAGAGCGTTCCTTTCTCATGTAGTATCAGCATTCAGCAATAAGAATTTAGTCGGCAAAAACTTTAGTATTGCGCAAATGAGTTATTCAATGGCGTCTTCATTGGTGCCCTTGTCTGGGATGACCTTACGAGCTCAAAGATCTTCCAAGTGCTGCATCTCGACTAATCATATCCGGCATCCTCGGCAAAGTCATCTTCCCCATCTATACAAGAGACGAACCAGTGTGGTGATTAGCCTTAGAAACTATTTGTTCTTCAGTCCTTTAGCTAGTCATCACAAGATCAAACTTTGTCTTTCGGGTGATTCGGATACAATTGGTCACACTGATCAGGTATTAATGTATTATCCTGCTACTCTTTACCCATTTATACAATTTCTAGCTCCTGTTGAACCCTTAGTAGTTAGTTTTTCAAGATTCAACCAATCTTTAACTCTAATGTATTAAAATTTTGACTTTAGAGACGAGAAATATTTTACATGTACTAGTAGCTAAGTACCAAGAAGTATTTTATGTGTTAAGTCCAGATTTAGAACATGACTATGGTGGTGCTTTTGTACATTCAATCCTCCGACAAATAATTTGACAATATTTTTGCTAGAGCTTTGTTAAAACTTGCATATTCTAGTCCTTAGATGCCAATCAAGCCTAGTTTTTATAAATTCCGAGTGGAAAAAACTTAAAATGTAATTTTGTCAGCAGTAGAAATGTTAAGATTGATGTTTTTCTAATAGTAATATTGCTCTAGCAGCTAAACTCAGGCACGGCATATAGTATCCATTTGTCCATCGACCCATTTATGTGCAACCAAATGAGTCTCATCGAAGTTGAAATGATAATAGAAATTGTTCTAAATAGGACTAAAATTTAGACAAAATGCACAAATAGGACTACATGTTTTTTATTCCCGAAATAGGACTTATTTGATCCTATTAAAAGTATAAAATTTCCCCTATTAGGAGTGAATAAGTCGTATTTTAGGAAGAAAACAATGATAGCCCTATATATGCACTTTGTTTATGTTTTAGCCTTATATAAGGAATTTTCTCATGATGAAAATTGATAATGGAATATACTGGAAGAGTGTAGCTTACCTTTTAGTTCTTATATTCCATTGAAATGAGATAGAGTCGGTGATTCCATTAAATATGGATCTACCATTGATTTCATGGTTGAAATGTAGTCAAAGTATGACTACTAAATCTGGAAATGACACCATTGTGGAGGACTAATGTCAGTTCCTATAGGCTATAGCCTATAGGAACTACCCTTTAATCACCACCATTTTTGACATAAAAGGTTGATAGGAACCCGAACACTCCTCCAAATAAGAATATTCTATAGTCTTTTACTATTGTACAATAAAAGGGTTCTAGGCCCAGTAACTTAGGGCTGACGGCCAGCCGTATAGGAGAATATTATAATAATGAGCGGGTAAGGAGAAAAGGGTAGGCAGACATTCTGTAGGGCTTAGACTGGGATTTGTGAGTGCGAGACTACTCTAAGTGTCTCAACTGTTCTTCTCTTTCTTTTCTTACACTTCGTTTGTAAATTCTCTAAGGATTTCTCGGAATCCGTCGTTCAATATACATCTAATTGTCTGCTAGTATTCGGTACTCTATCAAAGGTGGGATGGATTATTACTATCATGATTGCCATCATAGTTGTAGGTTACCTTGCATTTTCTGGTCCAATTAAGTGTCAATGTATCATATAAACAATGGGTTAACCAGTTATGAAAATGCAGGGATCCCATGACATGCAAAGTACTGAAAACTTTAAGCAATGGGATTTATTGACTGCAAAGTTTGCAGGAGCTGCCAATGTACCGTTTCTAGTGTTGCAACTGCCTCAAATCATACTGAATACTCGTAATATTATTGCGAAGAATAATTCTGCTTTGTTTGCTGTTCCCTGGCTGGTAATACTGTCTCCTGTTATTTGCATGACCCTTCTTTGAAACAAAAAAATGAGAATTGTAAATGTTAGGAACCAGAATATCACCAAACAGTTTCCGTATTATTAGCAATGGAGATTGAGGAATTCTCAATACTCCAGACTGATTACAGGGAAGATAAAGAGAATAACAACCAAATCTAGAGAAGGAACAAGGAGTTTCTCTCTAGCCAAAGCCCAGCCATTTCTAACTGAATACCAGCCTGCCCTCCCCTATTCCCCTCCCTTCCTTATATTCAGAAATCAAACCAGCACATTAATTACTCCTGCCCCCTCATTCCCCTCCTCACATAAACTCCCGTCCCTTCATTCCCCTCCTCACATAAACTCCTGTCCCTTCATTCCCCTCCTCACATACACTTTATTAAAATACTCTACACCCCTTGTGCTATCAGTAAAGATCTGATGCTGATAGTAATTATGCTATAGGGAATGCTTACTGGATTACTAGGGAATTTGTCTTTGCTATCATACTTCATAAAGAAGAGGGAAAAGGAGGCGGCAGTGGTGCAGGCATTAGGAGTTGTATCATCTTATGTAGTACTCTCACAGCTTGCAGTGGCTGGAGCTATGCCTCTTCCTCAGTTTGCAGTCACATCTTTTGCTGTTGCGTGTGGTCTTGCTATAAATTCTATAAATTACTTTGACTTTCTAAATCCTAGAATATGGCACTGTTGGGAAGATTTTATAACTATTGCAGGTCTCTCCGCACTTCCACAAGTAAATCATCGAATCTCAACTCTTAAATATTTTGCATATTGGACTTGCTATATTTTTATAGTTTATCTTCCATCAACTTTTGGTGACTGAGCAGGTCATGTGGTCAACTTTCCTCCCATTTGTTCCGAACACAATCTTGCCGGGTGTAATATCTTTCTTGGTTGCAGTCACATTTGTACTCATGGTAATCATTAATTGCCCTATCCTAATAAATTTATAATGAGAAGATTATACCTTCATATTTCTTTTGTTCCTTGAATAGTGAATACAAGGAGTAGCACTTGAAATAGCAGCCTAGTCACCCCTAAATAGGGAACAGCACGAGCCATATATGGGTGTTTATCCTAATGTGACAGGAGTGGTGTTCATCCTATAGTGGTGAAACAACTTCGACGGAACAGCCTTATATTAAATTGACCACCTCAGGAACACACCAATTGTGGGAGAAAAGTATGATGTAACTATCTTACTTGTGACCGAATAAACGATCATAGGTGTTTTATCTTCTTTTCATAACTAGGTGGAAAGTTAATCTGGGAAATTCTCTGAATTACTTTTAGTTGCATTGACAGGCTCGCCTGAGTAAACTGTCAGAGAAAGGTGTGGAGTTTGTCGCATTACTTTCTGCATGGACCGCAACTCTTCTATTCATGTGGATGCCTGTTGCACAGATGGTAATATTTGTGTGGTAAAAAAATTAAATTTCTAACAATTTTTTAGGTTTCTCATGGCGATTATTACTTCCCATGCAGTGGACGAATATCCTTAAACCTGATAATATTAAAGGTTTATCGGCTGCCTCAATGTTGCTGGCCATGGTTGGTAATGGGCTGATGATTCCTCGAGCACTCTTCACTCGGGATTTCATGTGGTACACACAAAAATTATTACTTTCAGTTTGTTTTTTAAAGTAGATCTCTGTCTAATAGGAATCCAGTACATTATAACAAAATCAAGGGCATTAACAATGATGAAATGTTTATGCTCCTTGTCGATATTTGAATCTCAAGAACAGTTTGTCTGCAAAAATGCGATAACATGAAAGTGGCTGTTATGATGTTCTTTGATAATCCTTACCTCTTTATGTGCAATCATAGGTGTAGATGATCGTATGATAAAGATAATCTCGATTCTTGACCCTTTTTCATTCATTTTAGGTCTCCACATATCTGTAAAAAGATGTGCAGGAGTTTCTAAAGTCAGTGGTTGCATTAATCTTCATATTTGCTATAAACCTAGGAAAATGTAACATAATTATCAATAACATTTGTCTGAAGTGCTCTGAGCTGCAGCTAATTTAGTTAATTACTCATGATGGGTAAATAAAAGGGCATATCGAATGTGCTTCTCTTTTGTTTTTCTGTGCCAACAGAATATCGGTCTTGCTTTAAAGTTCACGGTAAATAACAGGTTTACAGGTTCAAGTTGGGCGTGTATATTTTATGGATGGGGAAATCTTGTTTGTTTGTACAGGTACTTAGAATACATATGAATGGTTTGGAACTATCTGCTCAAGCATATTTACTACAGTAGTTTTTAATCTTATTTTTTTGTGTTTGTGTGTGTTTTCAGTTTTAAAGTCATTAGCAGAGATTTTTTCTTGTTTGCTACAGTGGGGTTCATAGCTTGGATAAGTAAGTCTCTTTTACTCTACTTTTTTAGACATTGTTTAGGAATATATCATAATGTTGTTTTCATATATCCACAGTTATGGCCTTCTGGAAAGATATGCAAGTTTATGGATACAGCTCTCCCTTGACATCTGTCAAGAAATTGGTTTCAGGCTCTAAGTAACTGCTGGTGCCTACCGTCTTTTCTTGCGGTGTCCTTGCTGGCCAAGCTAAGCGGCCGGAAAATATGCATGCCGGGAATGGCAAAATGATAATGGAGTTTTGAGTATATTTCGTTTGGGTAGCTTATTCTCACGGGACCCTGCTCAACCACCTGTCAACTTTGGTGAGATGTGTTTGCCTAACTTTGGCGTGGAGACAAGATCAAATGTTGAATTTATGATATGGGTTATTGGTTAGTTGTAATAAACGGGGTTGACTTTTTCCTTATGGGATCAACACAACAAACAGGAACCCGAGAGAATCCATGGAAGAAAGTAACTTAAATTCAAATTTGAAATGTAAATCCTAATATGCAAGAACCCAATAACTGAACCGATTGGGATTTCTCAGAGATTCAAGAATAATATGAAATTGAAATCTAGCAACAAATTAAACATCAAAACTTAACCTAAGCTTTAAATTAAACCTCAAGCCTCAAGGTGTTGCTATATGGAAGCAGGAAAATAAAGTCTTAAAAAGTTTTGATATTAACACTCATTTGGAAGGATGATTATGAAAATTTGGGATTGTTAGTAGGTGTTGAAAGGTGCTGCTGGTCTCTCCAATGTATCAATCCTCCGCTTAGTTAATACTCCAATTTGTAGTGTTTTGGAGTCGGGAAAAAAAATTAAAATATCTCAAATTTTGAAGTGGGTCGGTTATCCACTTATCCCTAACAGGACGTGCATGTGCAGGAGGTTTGCTTCGTGATTTCACCAATGTTGGTGTAATTGTCTGGATGAACTTTCAAAAAAGCGTTAGAGAAATAATATAGCTGGAGTCGCATAAACGCTATTCTCAAGAAAGTATTTTTGATTACCGAAAATCTTTCTCCAAGATAAAATTATTCTCAAGTCGGTAACAGAACAACGAGAGCAAAATAATATTCATCTAGCAAAGTAAGTTTTCAGGAAAGAAAATTAGGCAACACTCGATTAAAAAAAATGAAGCAAGACAACTTAAGTAAATATATGCTAGTAGTGCGAGAAATCAAATCTTGCTGCCTAGGTATATAACGTTCGTTTGCTAATTGAGATTAACATTGAATCAAATAAAACCATCAAGGAACGTTATGGAGCACATTCATAACACCCACCCACTCATTGTTTAAAATTCATTATTAAACAATGAATTTAATAATTAATAATGATTGTGGACATATAAAAATTATTGGACCGATGTCCAATTCTGTTGGGCTGCTTGTGATGGTTGTTGGGCCTTATAAAATTATTAATATGGATCCATTCGGATAAAATTTAATAATTGAATTAACTTGAGTCGTTTAAATATCCAATTAATTTAATTAGAAATTAAATCTTTAAAAGAAAGGACCGGTCATATTAATTTCTTTATTTTGAGCCCATTATTAAGTAGTAGCCCAATGAATAAGAGTCATGATCCAATTGATAAAGAGAGCAATGAATATGGTTAAGGAATCCATCCGTATGCACGGAAAATGGCTGCGAACCTTGTTAAAAATGCTGTCCAGATACATCGAACAAGTGCTGATTTTTCTGGCTATTAAATGCAAGCAAATAGAGCCCAAAACCCATTTTATTTGAGGCCCATGAGGTATGAACGAAATTCTTCAACCCTAAAGCATATTTTCACCCCCTCCACTCCTATAAATAGGGGTCTCAGTTGAGAGGAAGAGGAGAATTTTCAGACGAAGAAACGTTGCAGAAAAGCTCTCAAGAACTCCCGAAAGGCTCTGAACGATTCCGAAGAAGAGGAATAGATCAAGCCACGATTTTTGTTAAGAATATACGAATAATCCTTCGTGATTTCGTCGATTCTTAATAAAATAAATCCAAAAGTTGAAGAACGTTCGAAGATCTGAAAAACGAAGCTTGAAGATTCGAAGATCTGAAGAACAAGACTTTGAAGATTTGAAGATATGAAGAACGAAACTTTGAAGATTTGAAGATATTCATATTAAGATTGAATCAAGATTCAATTGAAGATCAAGCCGCATATCCCGGGAGGCCCTTAAACAGAAGATCAAGCCACAAAACGGCCCTTTTGTTGAAGATCAAGCCATTTGAAAACCGGTGGCCCTTCAAGCTGAATTCTTAATTCAAGAATATTTGAAGATTCAAAGAAAGAAGATTCGAAGATTCAAAGAACAAAACTTTGAAGGTTTGAAGATACGAAGAACGAAGGTTCGAAGATTTGAAGATCTGACGAACGTTCGAATATTTGAAGAATTAAAGATTTAATTTTGAATTAATTTCTTTAATTATATTTATTGCAAATTGCAAGTGAAGAATCAGAGGAATCATATTTAGAGATTGTATCCAATATTCTCACATATTATTATTTGCGATCAATTTTAAGTAAATACTTAAAATTTGTTTCACAAATTTTTGGCACGCCCGGTGGGACATCTCTACGTCTCATCTCTTCACTTTTGAAAACGAACCCATGGCATCAAGCAAGCCCGTGTTCACTCTGAATTCTCGAGCATCATCAAGCTCGAATCAAAACATGCAAGGCCCTATCACTAGGAGCCGATCAAGAATGATGTCTGCGCAGTCATCTTTTTATATTTTTTCTATATCAATAGATCTAGACCAACAATTTTATACCCCATGTATGTATTCATGTGTCCCTAAGATATCTAAAATGTGTTGTTTATATATATATTGCTAGTTTTTCTTTTTAGATAAATTATGTTATATTTTGGTATGTATTGAAAGAATATTAAAATTTTAGAAATCATTAATGATTATTTATTTCTAGTAATGTAGTGTACATGACTTTTTGTTGTATCATGTTTGTGCATTTTTTACAATTTAATTAATATGCTTTAAATCTTAGCTCTCAAGATTCAACTATAAATTAAATTAGAACTACTGAGTAATATTTAACCTAGAACGAAAAAGAAGAACGTTGAAGATTTCTATTATATTCAACAATTTGATGATATTCGTTTTTATATTTTCACATGAACTTAGTAAATTAAAATGATATTTATCTCGTGCGTCATCGTTTTGCTATATTTTTTCTTAGTTGTGTTGCACTATTTGTGTATTTGTGAATTTTAGTACTAAGTATGCAATTTCTTGTATTTATTTCAACATTTCATATTTTCATGTGAGTTGGTTGGCGTGATGATATCTACTAACTGCAAGATTTGTTCGAAAATTTTAGCATGTGTTTGGCATTGTACCGTACCGTTTTGTACCGTTCCGAAACGACATGGTACCGAACGGTTCTATCCTTGGAACCGCGTCGTTAAAAACCTCACGGATACATTACGATTTACGGGTTTGACCAATTTACCGGACCGTTCCGGACCGCGCCCACTCCTAATATGGAGTATGAAAAATGACCTCATCTAACAATATAGTGTGGTTCCCCTTTCTTTCATTTTGGTTTGCGATTTTATTTGAACCGAAATCCAAATATCTATAGTAAATGATATTCAGAGATCATATAACAATTTTTAAAGTACGTTTGTCCCATTTTTCAAATTCGATTGATGATACACTGTTCATCATTTGACCTCACCACATTACCATTGCTTTCCTCTGAATTTTATTTATTCACGAAGTTAAGACTAATGCATTAGCTAATGGGGAGTGTATCTCGATACACCTCTACAAATAAAAAATTAATAACAGACAGAGGTTAGATAGCTTGTTTTTATTCACATAAATGGCTTTGAATTACACATAATCCGTACATATACATTAATAAAAAAAGGCAGCTCACTACACCTTCCCATCCCCATGTAGACATTAACGTTTCCGTCCATTACAATACTTTGTTTTATAGATGATAATAACGTACTCATATACATATATATTATAAATATTTATAAATGGTAAAAGATATATTGAAAATTTAAGCTTTAATCGCTTTTAAATGAATTTCTTAAGTTTTGTTCCACGTGACCTCCCATTTTTGGCTCCTGCTCGTATAATTCATATCTTAATATTTCGGAACGTTTTTACTTCTATTTTACGTCTCTCAGTCGTATGGCATACGAACTTCATCACCAAACCTTTATCGTGTTCGACACTACGATGGGACTTCTAACGGTGTGATTTCCCTTCACTTCAACCCAAGTAATGGACCCCACATTCTTGCTCTGTTTCTCGTCACCCCTGTAACGAATCGTCAACCAGTAGGTCTTTTTCTGATTCTTTTGAGTGAAAATCAAAGTACTTGGAGAAACAGATATGTTAGAATTATTGGGAGTTTCAATCACAGCATTATAGGTAACTAGACCCGCCGGACCAACGTTTGTGACTGTCCTCTTGAAAGTCTGCACTAACCAATCGAAAACCCCGTTTTCACCTCCGGCGGGGTACAGAGCGATGAAGGACGGGTAGTTGAGGTCTGGGTCCGGACTGGAGCAATTGTAGGTTGATGAAGATCTTGCGATGCTACGGAATTGTGCTTCTGTTAAATTCATTGAGCAGAGGAGATTCACATAGTCTTGCGGGGTGGCGTCGTAGATCAGACCCGGATCGACTGCCCTGTTCGGGTTTACCATCCCGGCGCCGATGGCCAGCGGTGTGGCGACGGAGTTGACGTCGGACTCTTTGATTGGGTTCCCGGTGTTATCAAGTGTTGTAGCGGTGGTCATCATTGCTGACCTGATCATACACACATGTAAGTTGATAAGCTGGATTTTGAGAAAATTCCCTCACATTCAAATAGAAATAAAGTTTACAAATGGAACTCATCCAACGTTTTACATTTTTAATAGCTAAAATTGTCAAATTGGTTATCGTACTATTACAAAAAAAATCAATTAATTCCTAATTATTTAAAAAAATCAACCAAATCTTTGAACTTTGTAAAAACGTTCAATTGAGTCTATTAGCATGTCACCGGCCACATCAACAAGTAACAAATTGACGTGGAACACGGGTGACAGTGCTGTCAGCAGTTACTTTGCTGACCTAGCGCGCACGTGGTAGCCTAGCCAGCCATTTACAGATAACGTGGCGCACACAAAGACCGCCACATCATCGATGGCCTGCTGACGTGGTGGTAACCTGCTAAGTGACCTAATTGAACATTTTGTCAAAGTTTGGGAATTTGATTGATTTTTTTAAAGTATGAAGATCTAATTGTTTTTTTCGTGATTGTATGCGGACCAAATTGACAGTTTTCCATTTTTAAAAGGATCAAATAAGTTTTATTTTTACAATAAAATATAATTACTCCTATTTATACATTTTGTCTATTTTGATTTTATTAACTAAGTTTTTATCTAACACTGCATTTCTAATTTTGGGTGTCAACTTTTGTAATAATCAATATGAACAAACTATACTATGAAGAAAACTAACTTATCTTTTTGTTGAAGATAAGGTGTAACACGATTGAATGAATTGACTTTGGTGAGGAAAACTTTTTCATCCGTTTTCATATGATTT